AAGAGGGGGGGGTGGTAAGTGGGGAAAAAAAAAAAAAGCCGGAGAAGGAGGGAACCGATCGCCCGTCCTGCAAGCCCCACTGAACAGAATGCCTCTTCGCGCTAGCCCATGGCCACAAGAGGAGGGGAAAGGACAGGCGGCGCATGCGTTGCCATTAATATGCATTAAGGAGGAGGGTGGAAAGGAAGCGGCAGCGCCGCCTCGGGTCCCTGGGGAGGTTTGCCTTTTCCTTGGAAGGGTGACAAGAGGAGGAGCGACAGCCACGGGGAGGGGGAGGGAGGGAGGGAGGGAGGGGGGAGAGGGCAAGATGCGCGAAAGGCAGGAAAGGCGGAGATTTGTAATAGGTGAGTAAAGGCGAGCAAGTGGGGCAGGCGAGCTGGACCGCGTTATTGACGTTCGCGCTCAGATTCATCCCGATCCTTGCGCCAAGCGGCCGCTTGCTTGTAAAAAAAAATAAATCATCATCATCATCATCATCATCATCATCAACCCATCAAATGTTTGCGCCGTCTGATGTTCTCAGGCAAGAACGGCTAAAAGCACTGGAAGGTGTGAAAGGGAAAGGGGGCTTCCTTTCACCAGCGCCGTCCCCTTTGCCGAGAGGCTTTGCATATAGGATCTTACTGCGACCTTTCCCATTTGGGGGTATATGTGGGAACGTTCACACGCGCGCGCGATCTACCCACTCACGCATCTGACAAAGTGCACAGAAACTTACACGTCCTTTTTAAAAAAGAATGGCAAGGCGGGTTTTTTTTTTTGTTCTTCCTGTAAGGAAAGGGAGAGGGGGGGGAGAGAGAGAGAGAAAAAAAGCGCCCTTTCCTAATCTTTCCGAGAAGCGGAGCCCGTTCTCACAGCCTGGGAAGACCAAATGAATGCTGGTGAGCAGGGTTTTTTGTTCTTGTTGGTTAGGAAAAAAAATCATAGTTACCACGGCTCCGATCACAAAGTTCACGAGAGGTGCAAAGAATAACTTAGTGCACATGCTAGCTGCGTTGGTGCGGCGGGGGGCGGGGAGAGCTATGAAAAAACAGCTTTTTAATTCTCAAGTACGACCCATAGCTTTTCTAACCTGATTAAGCCACTTTAGCAACTGCTTTTTTGGCAGGCAGGCAGGCAGGCAGGCAGGCAAGCAAGCAAGCAGGCAGGCAGGCAGAAGACTGAATCCCTGAATGTCTGGGCTGTGGAAATTGGAGGGAGACTGTATTTACTCGGCAGTAAGAAGTAGCTTTTGGGGTGCAACTTACTGCTAAACAAATCTGTAGGGTTGCAGTCTTCATGCTGGGCAACTTCAAATTGTTAATGAGCCACGTATAGTGGAAAGTGCCTCTGTCATAGCAAAGTTGTCAGAGTTATGCTCCAGGACAGAAAACATATTATAATGTGCCCCTTCTCCCCCAAAACAGATCTGGCTCCCTGTTTTATCCTGAAGAAAGTAATACACACCCCTACCTAAAGAAGAAGCCTCTGTGAGATCATTTATATCTCAATCATTTAATCTGATTATAGTTCCTGGCAGGTAGAAAGGTAGCTTATAAGGGAAAGCAACTAGGATTTTTCTGACACCCTGATTTTCTAGGTGGGAAAATTACATTCTTATTTAACCTTTTCTTCTCTAGGGAGGGGAAGGAGAAATGTTACATCAAGTTGCCTTTCCCTAGCTGTCTGAAATACCAGTAGTATAGCTCAATGTAAGTTAACTTGTCCTGACTTTGCCACTGGAAAGGAAGAATTCCTTGCTTCCTGTTCTCCTCTTTTAATTTGGCAAGTCTGCTGGATTTCCAGGGCTGCTGCTACTTCTTGACTTTGGTTATGGATTTGGGATCTGCCCGCTTGCTGTTGTTTTTGAATGACCAGTACTATACAGGGCTTTGAAAAATGAATTGCATAAAGAACGTGAGCTGACATGAACAAATTCACACATCCATTTAAGAAATCCTGTTTCCAAGAGTGGCTTAATTTCGGAGACCGGTGGATGAAGGTTAGAAAATATACTTAGCGGAAGTGTGTTTCTATGTGTGAAAGATGGCAGTCAGGTTTTAGCCTTTTTTTTTTTTAGCATACCTCCTGTACTCCTATCTATGAATGTACTAAAGCACTTTTCCCTAAGTCCAAATGATCCCAGCCATCTCAGGAACTTGTAGGGACCAGTAAAAGTTTCAACATTACACTTTCTGGGCTGCAAAAATCTAGATACCCATGAGAGGCAGCCAGGTAAATTTTTTAATTTATTTATCCGTCAAACAAAAATTGCAAATTTGAACGAACAAAATGAAAAAAAACCACCTAAAATGTGACAGGAACGCTAGGCATGTTAGTGCGCTTACACATGCCCTCCCCTTAAGAACTTCTTAAACATGGGATGAGGTCCACAGAAGTTGAAATTAAAACTGTTAGTTAGCTATGACAACTGAACCGGGTAAGATATGCTAGACTTTGACAACTGTTACAAAAATCTTTTTTTTTTACAATCAAGTTTAAAACAGTTTACATTAAGTTTAAAGGGGTTGTTCATACACGTTCCATTATGATTAAAACAAAAAAAATGATTTTGACAATTTTAGATTTGTCTATAGCAGTGGTGGCGAACCTATGGCACTCAGAGCCCTCTCTGTGGGCACATGCGCCGTCGCCCCAGTCCTAGGCCTTCAGCTGGGTTTTATAAAACCTTTTTGCTTTAGGCCTCCGCCGCCATGTGCAAAAAAAAAAAAGGTTCAATCAGTCAATTTCAACTTCTCACGGGGAAAAAAAAGATCTTGCAAAGTTGGAATTGATTGATTGAACTTTTTAGTCCCACCCAGTCTGCCGTTACCACCGCAGCCATGCCCACCCAATGGCCCACGCCCAGCCAATTGGCCACACCCACCCAGCACTCGACGATGCATAAGTGGGTTTTGGGTTGCAGTTTGGGCACGCAGTCTCTAAAAGGTTCGCCATCACTGGTCTATAGCTTGCTGCTACCTTTTCGTTGTGCTGAAATCAGTCAGACTTCTTAGAGTCTGGCAGACCTAAGAAAGTGGGTTTTAAGAAGGCTGATAAAAGGGGTGAAAATAATGCTGACCAGGCTAGATGGAAACCTGCAAACGAAAGGCCCTCGCCACAGTTCCATGCCCCCTTGCCTGAGTAAGGGTGTTTGAATTGAAGACAGGGTTACCTGTCACAAGTAAACATGCTCAGGCTCAAGGCTATATGGCACTAGCTAGAGGAAAGGGTGTGTGTTTGTGTATGTGTGCGAATGAAGATAATCACACTGGGAAAAGGAGGCATGTGGTGGAAATCATTGTCTGAAGACAAATTGCCAGCCTGAGGAAAAAAGAGGGCGTGTGTTGGAGAGAGATTTTCTCAGCTGGGAAAGTGGCATTTCAGCTGCAGAGGTTTCCTTCCCTGAAATGTGTTAGAGCACTGACTCTGCACAAGTTGGCTGACAAACTTCTTTTTGGCAATGGGAGAGCTTTCAGGAGAGTCCAGAAGCCGTTACTCACCTGATGCAGTGTGGGGAGGCTGATAAAAATTAGTGCAAGCAAAGCAAGGATTACTTCTGAGTTGCTGCACTCTCCTAGGAGCAACCAAGAACAACCCTCTTAAGTGTTTCTACTGCTGTGCAGTTGGCGCAGTATGATCCTATGAGGGAGCCCAACTAGGCAATCTGCTTTTTAGCTGTAGGCATAAAATACTTTTATTAGGAAGTGAGGCAGACCCAGCTAGAATGGAGCTTCTGAGGAAACCAAAAGCTGTGCCAGATGATAATTTGGGAATAAGGATTCTATGGAAGGAAAACACCAATTACTTTAAAGCAGAAAGGCCCGGGTCATTTGTACCAATTAGTTTTTCTTTTTGTCTGTGGACTTTAATAGTTCAAGAGCAATTCCTGTTCATGTTCTCAGTTTCTTAAGAGCTGAAATGTACACAAGATACAGTAATCCTTGCAACCATCCCATTGATTGGTTATATTTCTAATCAGCCCATTAATAAGATTCTATGGGTGGACTTCAGAGCTATTAAAAATAAAAACAATAAAAAGTTGTCATCTCCTTGAACACAGAGCTGAGCCTGAAAAACAAACTTTGCTCCTAATGAACATGGAAATCTTTAACTCAACAACATCATTTCAAACTGCTGTGTGTAAGGACTCAGGTGACAGAGTTTTGTGTTAAACATAGCAATGTTTAGAAGATTCCCACTCATGCAGGCCAGGCTTTCTAGTGTAACCTTCATTCTAACCTACTTGGGCTTTTTACTTGCCAATATTTATTTTAAAGAGGAATATGAAATCCTGAAGTCCCCTATCTGTAGTATGAAGTGGGACAGCCTAAATTGCCTTAAGGAAAACTAGGCCCAAATTTAGATTTTCTTTTTCTTTTTTTTTTGCTAGAAAAGCTGTATATTTCCCTCAATGTGTACCGAGTAATCTTGTTTAGTCTCAGGCATTACATTAAGCCATGGCTTATTTAAATGACTTGGTAAATTTATTTAATTAAATTTTGAAAAACACACATAGCTGATTGGGTGTATATCTTAAGTCATGATGGTCAGGATCACACATCCAACCAAACCATCAACTATCGTTTATAAACCACAGCGGCTAGATTTTATAGAACAAACAAAACCAAAATCAAGGAAGCCATGTTCTGACTTAG